TGTTATGGATGGAGAATGGGAAAACAGGAAGACTTACTCCAGCTGCACCCAAAAGAATAGAAACTCACCGCTCTCTCCCACTGCCTCCAACACATTGAAATGGGTTGCAGTTAAAATCCATCAGTTGACACATATCCATCCATCAACAGAAAATAGTTTTCTTGTGTTGACATTACTCCCAATCAGAGGCTTAATTTGCCTCTTCAGGGGCTCTCAGAAATGCAACAAGAATGCCTGTTCTTTGTATCAAGTATTGAAGTGTATCCTATATAATAAAAGCCTAATATGCAAATCGACCAAACAGCAGAACAACTGGTGCAATGACCGGTTGCTATGATGCACACTGACCACCAGGGGGCAGATGCTCAATGCAGGAGCTGCCCCCAGCCTGTAGGCCCCAGGCCAGTCAAGGTGGGTACCAGCAGGGCCCCCCATCGCCCTGCTGGTCACCCCACTGATCAGCCCCGATTGCAGGCCAGGCCTAGGGACCCGACCCATGTACGAATTTCGTGCATTGGGCCTCTGGTTTGTAATAAAATAATTTGTCAGTCTCCTTATAGAATGTTGTATTGAAGTTTCTGATGTGCTCCCACAAAGCCCTGTTCTCATCCCTCCATCAGAACACTTGCATTGAGGCTTGTCCCTTATTAATTTGTCCATGCTTTCGCAAACATGCAGGATCTCTGATTCTAGGTCCAAGTCTGTCTTACGCCTCTTCAGGACCTAGCCCAGTGCTTGACTCATACACCTAATAAATACCTGTTCAATGAACACATGGGCCTCTTTAGGGAGGAACTCAGGCCATGTGCAGTGGTAGAAAGTACCTGAGAGCTTTGGGGAAGGACAGATGTAATTTTGAATCCATGGGCTGTAACCTATCCATGGTATCTGAACTCCATATACTCTCTGAGACTGGGTAAAATGGGAATCCCAAGACTTCTGGGCATGTTGTGAGGACTCAGAGATAAAGTGCCAGTATAGACAGTGCCTGGCCTTTAATAGTCTAAAAATTACCCATTTTCCCTTTCCCTTAGGGAAGTTATAACACATTTACTATTGATTACTGATGGGACTGTGAAATGGTTTGTATAAAATGTAAACATAAAATCTTACCATTGGTATTTATGTACTTGATCAAAGTATATAATTATAAACTATGCTGGTTTGGACACTAGATCAGTACTCTCAACCTAGGCTCACTGTCATAGGTTCGCCATCACTGCCCTAGACCCAGAACACCAGAATCGGTAAATCTTAAAGCTCCCCCAATGAGTCCAACATGCAAACAAGATTGGGAACCACTGGATCAGATGTTCAATGGTCCTTCTGTTACACGCAGTTATGTTCTCCCTCTCCCTAAAGCAGTGATGGCGAACCTTTTGAGCTCAGCATGTCAGCATTTTGAAAAACCCTAACTTTGTTGTCGTCTCACATATAGAAATTTTTTTATATTTGCAACCAAAGTAAAACAAAGGCTTATATTTTTGATATTTATTTTATAGATATAAATGCGATTTAACAAAGAAAAATCAACCAAAAAAATGAGTTCGTGTGTCACCTCTGACACGCGTGTCATAGGTTCGCCATCATTGCCCTAAACCCAGAATACCAGAATCGGTAAACCTTAAAGCTCCCCTGATGAGTCCAACATGTAAACAAGATTGGGAACCACTGGATCGGATGTTCAATGGTCCTTCTGTTACACGCAGTTACT